GCGACTCTCCCGGGTCTGTCCTGTCACCGTGAGGGCCGCCGTCTCCTCAAAGAGGCAGCCCGCCCTGTGCGGCCTTCGGGGTGGTCCCGGGACCTCCCGGGGTTCCCCACGGCCTGACAGCGGTCGGGGGCACAGACTTCCGTGCCCTCGTCTCATTTTGGATCTTTTTCATTTTTCAAAAACAAGCTACCAACCCACACACGCTCACGCCTGTCCCACAGGGGCGGCTGGCACCAGTCACACGGGGCGGCAGGATCCAGCTTGTGCCCCCCCACCCCCACCCCCTGTCCCCCACGAACTGAGCCACAGAAAACGCCTCCAGCGGGTTCTCTGTGAACCTGCTGTCTGAGGGCAGATGAGCTCCGACGGGCAATTCTGGGCTCATTTGTTCCTAAGGCGGGAGGGGGAGGGGGAGGGGGCTGGAGACACGCTGACTGCAGCCGGGACAGGCGCGGAGCTGGGAGCCAAGGGCCAGCACAGTCCGGCATCGCAAACCCCGTGTCCCTCCCGTGTCTGCCCCGTCCCATGACCCGTGTCACTCCCGTGTCTGCCCCGTCCCGTGCCCCTGCCCCCCGAGGGGCAGGCTGCCTGTGGGGACCTTCCGCGCCCCGGCTCTCACACTACTCCCCGTAAGACCTGCCCACGCAGCACCCAGCCTCACAATTCACACGCGTGGGCCACTGTCCCCGAGTGTGACCCTCGCCCTCGCCGGGCCACTCCCTAAGCAGCCCCCTCAAACATCAGCGGTGTGCACCTCGTCCCTTCAGTGAAAATCTAGGCTCAGACCCACTTCTCCCACCTCCCGGTTTCCGGTGCCTCGGTGCATGGCAGGACGGCGGCGCCACGACACCCACAGGTAATGGCATCGCCCGCCGGCCTGTGCTTATCAGGCGGCTCCCGCTATTTCCGCGTTTCTCCCATTTTAGGGACAGGTCACCGCGGCCCCATGTGCAGGAGGCGCGTGCCCAGGAGGCCGCTGTGCAGAGCCGAGCCCCCAGCGCCCTGGGCCCAGGTGACCTCCCACCAGCGCGGCCGTGGACGGACGGACAGGCAGCCCAGCCCGGAGCCCCTGGAGGAGCCGCTGCCCCCACAGCCCCGCGCGCACCGC